AATGCGAAGTGTGACTGAAGATGAAACATTTCATTCCATGGTGATCTCCGCATCGAGATCGGCAAACCTCGCAACTATCCCGTTCGCCTCGTCCCAAGGAACTTGTTTAGCCAGCACTCTGGGTAGATTTTCGGAAGCCTACAAAAGTGATAACGATGAGCTAACTTTCAGCAACAAAAGTGCCGAACCCACATCCTTGGCCTCTTTCAATCCCAGCCCGAGCAGTTGACGGATCTCCTTGATCACCTTGATCTTGTTCTCACTAGGAAATGAGGTCAGTTTGACCGCCTGAGTAAATCCAATGGAAGACACTAATAAGACTCTCCATAATGTATCATCTGTCACTCAACGCCACCCTTTGCTGCGCATCGCGAATCACATATGTCTATGCTATTTCGTGACTCGATCTACGACTGAGCGAAAAAACTCGCTCACTTTAACCATCTTGGGCGCGGCAGCGGTTTCAGCCTTCGCGACCGGAGTCTGTTCATCAACCAGTGATTGTCCAGGCACCTCATCTTCGGTCGGAACCTGACCAGAAAACAATGTGATTCTGAAACCATCAAATCGCCAACCGTATTCTCAGATGGGATCGTTGCCGGCGATGGAACCATCGTTGCATCTCCCATCATATTAAAAAGCTCTTCAAAATGGAATGCCTGGACTGACTGAGACACTGATGGGAGCTCTTGAGGGAATACGCCCACTTGCGGCACCTAAACGAAGAAAGCGGTCTCGAGATCATCGAAAAAAAGGAACACTGCGAAGAGAATACGAACTCTTACGAAAGTTGAGATGATGCTTATTGGATCAGGCGGATTTCATGCGATACAAGGAACTACGTTTGTATGAACTGAAATCTTTCCGTGACAGCTATATCGAATTACTCACAAGATATTCAATAGTATTGAATCAATAGTGTATACATATAAGATGAACACGCTCCTAGATCAGGAAGTATAAGACCCCCACCTTGAATAGACAAGAACCAAATGTTCATATTCTTCAACCATGACTAACCCTAGAGAACAGTTACAGTAATAAGTCCATCTCGAAACTCAGTTTATCTGCGTTATAAATGAACGCCTATCCCTCGATACAAAGAGGCTCTCTAACGTCCCTCACCTGGTTAGAAAAGATCATGGCAGGATGCGGGAAAGGTAGTATACCAACGCCCGAAGTCGAAGGCTTCCAGGATTTACCGGCACCAACCGGTCGAGCAACAAGTCTGACGGAAAGTTCAACAGAAACCTCCCAACAGACATTCAGTCAGAAGATAAAAAACGTGAAGGGGGGAAGGAGCAATACGATTGGCGATGAAGATCAGATCTTGTGAATTCTGATTGAATTTTTGTTTTTTTTGGAAGTCAGACCATACATCAAACATGGTCTGACTTCCTTGCCAGAGAGCGTATGCTATATCCTCAGCTTGAAGGTGTGGAGCTGATTGGTCTGCGCGACAGGTGGGGCGTGATAAACTCCTGAGGGCCCTGTCGACCTATCCCTATTTCAAAAATGAAGTCGCGAAAGCTCAAGTCAGAACCGCGTTTGTCTGCTTACGAAATTATGATTACAATAAGGGTGTAAAGTTCAATCATTTGCTTCCCCAATATCTACTCAGATCAACTCGGATCCTTAAAATGCGATGAAATGGTCACCCTGAGTGTATTTTCGCATCTCGTTCGAGGATCGTTAGCTGAAGCTTGGAGAAAAAAGGCCTCTAATCGGCCGAAATTGAGACCAATGTTGCCGAGATAAGCCATCACAGATGGCTAACCTCCGAAACATTCGGAGAAAGAGGGCATCAGGTTATGCACGACAGGGATGATAGGCCCTGTAGGTGAAATAATAATGACTGATATAAGCGAACTAGTTGTGCTAGTAAAAAGTGGAGGAAAAAATTACGGCTCATATTGTTACAGGGCCAACGTCGTAGAGCTGCCAACGATGGTCCCAATTCTTCTTGAACTTCCACACGCCGGCCCAAGCATGGAAATTGACACCCGAAAGGAAATGCCACTTATCATATGCGTGGTCGACCGTGTTGGCCTTGATATCGAGGCTCACGGCGGCGTATGCCACTTTAGCACTCACAGAGGTACCAATAACACCGTATGCAGTGAGGTCGTTCTTGGGAGCAGCAGTGCAATTAATCTTGGCGTTGATGGCCCAGTTTATGACGTCACCAGCATAAGGTACGTGGACAATGAAGTGGACGGTGATTGCAATCTCTCCTTCGAACCCACCATCTACCCTCTTCTTAGCCGGCAATTTACCGGTCATGCATACGGATATCGCGAGGTGAACTCCGTCGGATTGACCGTACTGGAAGACCAGCGCACATCCACCCGCATCGATGGTAAGACTCAATATGCTCCCCTCGTGCTTCTTCAGGGTAACGCCAATAGATAGGTAGGCGCCTTTGGTAGCATCATCAATGCCTAGGAATGTAACTTTGGCTCCCAGGGTTATAGAAAGGTCCAAAGAAGCGTCCAGAGAGACAGAGATGCAGTACTTCTGCTCTTGCTTCCCACCAGCTGCGACACAACCCTTAGGGTACTCGAACTTGACAATTTCGGCCAGAGCACGGTGAGTTGTTGCATGGAAATACTTGTCGGCAGCTGAGCCCTTCTCGATGGTGAAGTAGCTGATACCCTTGAAGCCTTCAGAAGACCTCAGTCTACGTTCACTCATCCAATCAAGATCACGGTCCTCAGAGAAAAACTGACGGGTCTTCTCGGAAACGAATGGAGCATAAATCATGTCAACATCGACATGAGGGGCCTCCATATCATCTCCAGCGGTTAGACGACGATCACCATCAATTTGATAGTTGTCATACACAGTCTGCATGGCCCCAGCGACTGTTAGGTCATCTTTGAGAGACTCGATCTTATCAAAAACCGACTCTTGGAAAACCCGGGAGTTCGAGAAGGTGTTGACAGCAAGAAGCTTATTCGGTTTCTCGTTGCTCTTCTCAGTGTATAGGATCCAAGCATCAGGGGCAAGACCGGCTTGGTAAATAGCAGTATAGTTAGCGCCGGTGATAGGATCTATATCCCGGGGTGCGTACAGTATCCACTTATCCAACGAAGCATCATCGGACTCTTGAGGAACCCACCCTCCGTCGGCCAGAGTCCCACCAATGGTAGCCTCCTCGAGGGTGTCCTCAGCCGCTTCCACAATGGATACAATGGAAGATTGGCGGTTGAAGAGCTTCTTGACAACTTGGTGGTCGGGGGATTTGATCGACATAAGGAAGGTGTAGGGAAGGGCAGGAGAGGCTTGAACCGACAATTGGCCGTCTTTAGCGATGATCACATCCTCCCTGGTAGTATGAACACCATTCTCCATACCAGGCAAGGTGAGCCCGGAGGTTCCTTCAGCCAATGAGATACCGCATGGAGCCGGGTTGCCATTAGCGTCGACGAGGCCGAGATTACAGTACTTCTTGGTAGTAATGTGCATACGCACATTTCCCTCGCCGAAACCAGCTTGAACGCCTATCAAAGGCAGGATCAAAGAGGAGACTTTGGACAACATGGTGAGAGGGATACGAACACGAACTGTGGTATGATACCACTGGCATCTCTTGGCTCAAGGTCGAATCTAACCAGTGCTTACTCAAGAGCGTCACTACACCCCTCCACATATTCTTCGGATCAGGAGCGGAGATATAGTTGGTATTTTGAGGCGCAATTTTAACACGTGGATGCTAAGAATATGTGGAGAAAACGTTTTACCGGTCTTCGACTTCTCACTAACTACGAAGAGTTAGGCCCTGAAACTTGGAGGTCATATCAGGTAAAGCATAAGTACATACCTCCCTGAGCCGCAAGATGATACTCGTTGTGATGGCTGTGCACGAGTCGAAAAACCGGATATGCTAAGAATATGTGGAGGGGTGTATGTACATACGCGAGTAAAACTACGATATCCGATGGAGATTCTACGTTAATGGACTCTCCGAAGCTTACTTTCACAAGCGTTTTCACGCACACAATATTCACGCAGACTACTCATGGGAGGAGGGACTGGCTACAATCTTAGGTTTAACAACCGCAAAAGTCGAACATTAATACTAACATGACGAATATGTGGCTAAGGTATGATATTCGGGTCAACCGAATCGGATGTGAGAGTGAATCAAGGTCAGGCTCGACTTGACGCCTCTCAAGCGACCTACTTTTCATACGGTCTGGTCACGTGTGCGGATTTCGTGAATTATGGAAGCTGCATGGGTGTGCAGACCGGGCAAGAGCAGAGTATCACGATCGAACTCGGATAATCGGAAGCCTTCTCCGAATATCGACACATTTTCCTGTCGTGTTCACAATTAGTATCAGAGTAGCGAAATATACCTTAGGTTTTCAATTCCACGTGGAGCTCAGGAATTTCTAATTAGTTTTTGCATTCAGTTACCGATTCGGAGGGCGCGTCACTGCGACGCCGTCACACAGTGCGTCTCCGTCCCGCATGTGCATATCATCCGCGGTGCGTCCTCCACCCTTATCCAGGGTGCGTCGTGAAACGACCCGTGCGGGTGAACATCGCCGCAGCATTACCGAACCAGACGGCGCATGCCGTGCATGATTATTTTCAACTCAGCCCGCCACTCCCGCGACCAATCATCGGTTGGTCGACACTGTCGACGCCGCGCTGCGGCGTCGCATCGGCGGCACGCGCCCGCCGTAGTGCAACTTGCACGGAGCCAGCAGAGGTGCTCGTCGGACTAACTCGATGCTCCGAGAGCTGGAAGCCACATGCACCTTTTGTCTTCCAGCCCACCAGACCCACGTGCCCAGTGGTGGGATTTTCAATATCGTTATCAATGATTGTCTGGATGGTGTTTCTAGTTAGGTATCTGGAAGTCACTGGAGTGCAGTCACCGAAAGGGTCCACAGAAAGCAATTAACAGAAGCAGTCACTGCTTAGCAATGAACGGCAGGAGCGGGAAAGTGAATCGAACCGAATACTGACAACTGAATGCAAAGTGTGACTAAAGATGAAACATTTCATTCCATGGTGATCTCCGCATCGAGCTCGGCAAACCTCGCAACTATCCCGTTCGCCTCGTCCCGAGGAACTTGTTTAGCCAGCACTCTGGGTAGATTTTCGGAAGCCTACAAAAGTGATAACGATGAACTAACTTTCAGCAACAACAGTGCCGAACCCACATCCTTGGCCTCTTTCAATCCCAGCCCGAGCAGTTGACGGATCTCCTTGATCACCTTGATCTTGTTCTCACTAGGAAATGAGGTCAGTTTGACCGCCTGAGTAAATCCAATGGAAGACACTAATAAGACTCTCTATAATGTATCATCTGTCACTCAATGCCACCCTTTGCTCAGCATGACGAATCACATATGCCTATGCTATTTCGTGACTCGATCTACGACTGAGCGAAAAAACTCGCTCACTTTCACCATCTTGGGCGCGGCAGCGGCTTCAGTCTTCGCGACCGGAGTCTGTTCATCAACCAGTGATTGTCCTGGCACCTCATCTTCGGTCGGAACCTGACCAGAAAACAATGCGATTATGAAACCATCAAATCGCCAACCGTATTCTCAGATGGGATCGTTGCCGGCGGTGGAACCATCGTTGCATCTCCCATCATATTAAAAAGCTCTTCAAAATGGAATGCCTGGACTGACTGAGACACTGATGGGAGCTCTTGAGGGAATACGCCCACTTGCGGCACCTGAAATCACTTGAGCGGAAAAAGCGTTCTCGAGATCACTGAAGGAAAAGGGAACAAGGTGAAGCGAATACGAACTGTTTCAAGTTGAGATGACGCGGATGCCACGCGATACAAAGAGCTACATTTATATGAACTGAAATCTGTTAGTGATAGCTACACCAGATTACTCAGAAGCTATTCGATAAGTGCATATATAGGATCAACACAGGGAGTATAAGACCCCCACTGTGAATAGACAAGAACCAAATGTTCATATTCTTCAACCATGACCAACCATTTCGAAACTCAGTTTCTCTGCGTTATAAATAAACGCCTATTCCTCGATACAAAGAGGCTCTCTAACGTCCCTCACCTGGTTAGTAAAAATCATAGCAGGATGCGGGAAAGGTAGTATACCAACGCCCGAAGTCGAAGGCTTCCAGGATTTACCAGCACCAACCGGTCGAGCAACAAGTCTGACGGAAAGTTTAACAGAAATCTTCCAACAGACATTCAGTCAGAAGACAAAAAACGTGAAGGGGGGAACGAGCAATACGATTGGCGATGAAGGTCCGATCTTGTGAATTCTGATTGATTTTTTGAGATCTTTTGTGTCACAGTATCATCATAATCTGTTGATTCACAAAATTTCTATAGTAGTGTTGGGGGAAAATGTGTGTTCGCTTTCCTCAGCTGTGCTCAGCAGTCACTAACGAGAAAAGCCTACATACGAGTCTGGGTAGAAGTTAACATGAACATATAAAAATTTCCCAGAATTTCCTCTTCCTCACCAACGCACGTAGTTCACAATGTGCATATTTCCCCACAATGATCGAGTGAATCTCGTCCCTGATGCTAACGCCTATACAGCGACAACGTATACTCCTAGGCTCCACTGCCCTATTATTCAACCGAGATTATCAACGTGCCCAATATCCACTTTTCGAGGTCTCCTAGACCTCTCTAGATTTGCCAATATTTTTCTTCATTTCTTTTCTAATTCAACCTCCTACCGTTCATGGCACATCATCGACACTTGCTTCTGCTCCTTGCCCGACAAAGCCTGTATTCGCCGAGCCAAAGCCAAGACTTCTGCTTTCACATAGCCCAACTCCACAACACTCACGGACGATGCGCCTGCTTGCATTCAGAAATTATACTGCAAGTTGATCGAAGAATACACCAGTTGTAGAAGAATTTCCGAAATGTATCAGGTTGGTGATAGAAATTTTAAAAGAAAAAGTCGCGATCTGTACCAAATTCTGCTACATTATGCATGGGAGAAAATCACTACACTATCCACATATTCGTCGACCGAACTTCATCGCATTTTTCGAATTAGTGTTAAAGGAATATATGTTTGTTTTCCTCAGCTCAGCTCAAGAGTTTCCCCACTAATAATAGGAGTTTACATTCTAATTCGGGTATAATTATTCCGAAACCAGCAAGAATTTCCCAAACTCAGAATCTCATATTGTCACCATCGGTGACTCAGCAACACATGTAGTTGATCATATGCATATCCCCCCACACCCGTTCGAGAGTCCTAAGAAACTCAACACACAATTGCTGTCTACAAGGAACGTTACACTGGAAAGTTTCCCCACTAATCATAGGAGTTTACATACAAATTCGGGTATAATTATTCCGAAACCAGCAAAAATTTTCCAAACTCAGCAACACATGTAGTTGACCATATGCATATTCTCCCACACCCATTCGATAGTCCTAACAAACTCAACACACAATTTCTGTCTACAAGGAACGTTGCTTCTGCTGTCGCTTTTGCCGCTGATTTTGCCGCGCTCTTTTTTTACTCGACATTTTCCCTCCTTCCATTCTGAACTTTTTACGATTTTTCCTTTCCCCCTCAGTCTGTTCAAACGGCCTCTTCTTCCCACGCTTGTTGTTCGCTCTTTCCTCAGCAGCACTCACAGGAACTCTCATCTCGAGCACCTCCTCATTATCATCTGATAATTCTATTTCTTCCACTCCACTACCCGAGCTCTCCGAAGAGGCTAAGCTCAACGTTGTACATTCTTCACGCCACTTAGCCATCTGAAAAAAATCAGACAATTCTAGTACCACACCAGGGAGAAAAACTCTCGATACACAGTTTCTTCCTTCTGGTGGGAAGCATCCGCACCATCTACATCCCTCTAGTTTCTCTGTGGGATGCATATAGAGATTGTCGCAGTATCAAAAGTATTACCCCCAAATTTTCACCTTAGTTGTGCCATTTACGCATATATTAGGATTAAAATTTGATTTTATAAAAAGCTCCTGCTTCTATTCACAACAAGCATATTCGAATTCAGATTCATTCACTACACCATCTCACCAAAATACTACTCACCTACTACTTCTAATTTCAAACCTGGGTTCACGAATTTGATTGAAATCCGTAGCAGCACGAAAAACGAAAAATCAAATTCCAGGTTATCTATAATGATAAAACAGGAAAAACATATACATTCCAAATCTACGAGAAATTCTCTGTTCGTTTTAAACACCACACCACAAAAATCGTCCACCCATATCCAGCGCCCCTCTCACCCCACCACTACTACTTTCCTCTTCTTCTCATTCACAACTGCTATCTCCTCTACACTTTCCACATCACTGCTGTCATCCGAACTCTCCGCTGCTTTCTCAGCAGTAAATGGTATCAACTTAGTCACCCTGTCCCCAAACAGTTCTGTCCAGCGAGCGCCTCGACACGAGCCCGCGGCTGCGCGGAAGGCTGGAAGGACTCTATTGCGCCATTGTGAATTCGATAGGCATCTCGCCGCATTCGCGAAAGAATCTCGAGGAACCTGAAATACAATTTTCTCCTATACCCAAATTTTATAAAAAATTTTTGCCAATTCCGAAGTCACCACCAGAGCAGGCGTTAACTGTCAGTTCTACTACTGCATATACCACTCCCACCCGAACTCACAACATTCCATACAATATACTAATAAGAGTATGTTACGAAGGTTGCAAGGATTTGTTCCTATGGTTTCCATACCAGCCGTGCGTTCGATAAATAGTATGCTATCAAAACCGTATTCTCATATCACATCACTTCTATTCGAGCTAATTCACGACGCACTCCTCGGAAAGTTTACCACAAAAAACGTTGGTTTTAATTTCATCATACGTCCGTCTCCATAAACTCAATTGAATTTACGAAAGCATCAAAACTACTATTGATTTGAAAACGGCAAGATAAAGAAATCTCCTCCCCTAAATAGTATAACCAGTCGTATATTATTGCACTGCGAATACCTTCCTCATCACCATTACTAATAAATTCAGAATTATGATAAACCACATTCACATACCAACACTCCTGTTCGCTGCTCAGCCCATAAGCCCAACGAAATTCCTTCCATGTAGCACCCGCCGAAAATGACAATAACAAACGGTCTCCCCAAACCGCCATTCACAGACATTTCCCAAACACCTACTCTAATGAACATAGGGCAATACGTGGACGGTGCTCTCGAATACATCCTGTGCTCCTCCACATCTACTTCGACGATATCACAATGGAAACCGAACGCCACCCAGCGGAAAAATGAAGAAAGCAAATACGCTATGTCTGAAAATATAAAAGTGGGAACTACATGTGTTGGTGATGACAATATGGAAATTGTGAGCAAATTCTGGAGATTTTTTATTGGTTTCTCTACACTTCTACGTGAATTCCTCTGCAAGTTTGCATAGCAAGTGACAATATTATACACCAGAAAATATGTCAATACTCAGTAAGATAAAAACCTCTGCGGTGGATTCGAACCCGATACCTCCCCATTCACAGCCAACCATTATTACCAATTGACCTATTTCCTCCATTTCTTCTTCGTTTCTCCATCCTATACACCGACTGGAAGTGGTAAATCGCCAATAATATCAACGCGAACGTCGAAAGGCAATTATTAAAAGAGTCCGTCGCGCCGCTTATTCTTCCCCATAGCTTCACCAAAGTGACAAACTTCCGACACAGTTCGCCGCCACCCGAGATCAAACTATGAATCTGATCATACAACAAGTAATACCATCAAGAACGCGTGTACAGTGCGTGTGAAT